GATGATGATGATGATGATGATGATGATGATGATGATGATGATGATGAGCAAATCCTTTCTCAAACAAGAATGTGGTACTCGTTTCCCGAGTCTTACTGGATCTTACTGGTCATGGGATACGCCCGGTCGGCATCTCTTCCAGTCGACTCCCGGTCGGCCGAGTCGGAGCTCCACGGAGCACGAATCCGGGGAGTTCCAGGTAGGCCAGACACTCCATGGGACTGCCATATATGCCGATCAGTCCAGGGGTGGTGCCAGGGGGGTTCAATGAAGGCATATATGGCAGTCCCATGGGTCGTGTCTGGGTATTGGATTCGATTGGAAGGAGGGCTCGAGCTTACTGGTTTAGGCCAGATTCACTCGTGGCCCCAGACCCGGGTTTGGAAGGTATGGACGTGTGATGGTGCGGCCCCCCAGTAACTACTGGATGGGACCCCCAAAACCAAGCCTTCCGACCATGGACCTGCATTTCACGGGCCATGCAAAGGTCATTTGGGCCCTCGGACGAACTTCCGCCGGTGCTCGGGATCATGGTTGTAGCAAGCGGCACCTGGGTAGCTCGGCTCGAGTCGAGCCAAAGCGCGGTGTTTGGGCACTTCGAAGTTGGGGGACATGGGTAAGACCTAAGGTGACACCATGAACCCTGGGCCGATTTGGACAGATGCCAAAAAGAAACGGCAACCTGCTTCTTCTAAAGGGACCGAACTTGATCTTCTTTGACAAATTGAGGTCACGAACAGGCTGGAAAAGGTCACAGACAGGGATTTCTTTCAAAGGTCAAGCTAGAAACTTCTTTTGTGCTTCTCTTGTTGAATTGCTTAACCCCCAAAACCGCAAAAAACACCAGCTCAGTGGGGAGAACAGGAGCTGGAAGACTCCAACGTATAGTAGTATATTATATATACTGTTAGTATACTATACTAGTATAAAGTAGTATATATAACACTATATCATCCAAAGCATAGTAGTATAGTATAGAATAGTATATGTAATAATAGTAGTAAAGTATAATAGGCTCTGTTCCTCTCCTTTGTCATCCTTTGTGGATCGCGCCAGCCTAGAACTACTGTCAACTGGTGTCAACTCCTTCACCTATTAATATACATACCCAGCCAACACCCTCGGCAACGTGCTGCTTCGCCATTTCCCCGCCCTTTCATTGAAAGAAACACCTTGGTTGTGGGACATCGCAAAAGAAAACAACAAAATGGAGCCCACGAACCAGAATGCACGCACACACTAAACACCAACGGCCTTCCGGCCACGCGAGAACCCCTTCTCGATGCGTTCGAGACCAAAACCATCGAAGGGTCCAAGGAATACATCCCAAACCATCCATGGGACTGGAATAGTGAATACATTTCCCATATCCATGCTGGCTGAAGATGCTCCCCCTGCACACCGCCGGCCCTTTGGTCGGAGATTGCAGTGGGTGATTGCGAAGGGTCACACGCCGTGACCAACCCTGCCACCACAGATGCAGCCCAGGGCTTCTCCCCTGCTCCGCTGCAAATTCTTAACATTGCCATGGACAACAGCATGGGGGACACGGACATTTTGCAGCCTTGCAAATGGCATCAAGATAATAATGATAATAAAACGCCCTATCGGAAGAGGTAATTAACTACAATCCAAGTTGGGAAGTTTTGCTTGACTAGTTAGAAGAAACAACCGTCAACCATGTTAGTAACGCTTCCAGTCCCATGGATGCTGGATGCTGGATGCACACGATCCGTTCACGCCTTGAAAAGCGGTGGAAAACGTCCGCGCGCACATATCGCACGTGGTTTTGGTGATCGTCACTCGTCCCGCATCAAAAGTTAAACTCAACACGGGGTGGAAACAACATGAGTCACATGAGTTGAACACGGAATAAATTCCATCGCATCTAAAACTGCATCTTCTTGTCGAAGGAGAAATACCTTCGCATACTTTTGAGGATGCAGGTGTAGCACTTGCCCCCTAAGAACACGTGGAACATTGGGCCACATGAATCTCAACCGGTACCACGAACAAAAAGCTGACTGATAATTAACTTGCTTGCTGTTTGGTCAGGGCTGGATTTAAGTTTCTCATGCTATTGAGTGTTTAGTCCTGAGAATACAAACACGAACCTTTGCGCAGGTTACGAGCCCACACGATGGGCCCAACCAGTGAGCTTTTGGCCGGGCGTTTGGCCGGGCAGAACCGGGGCATCCGCCGTGGCATCGATGGTCGATGCGACGGCACCGTGGCCGGTCAAATACAGGCGCTCTGAAGAGCGCGACACCACATCCAAGTACAACCTGCCTTTGGCAGGTAGGGGGAGAGTGAGAGGTGATGGCGTGGGTATTCCGGAAGCCATTTTTCTAATAACTATGCTTGCTGGTGTGGGCGGGCCATGCCAAGCCAAAGCAGCAATACAAGTGCACGGGTTCATTCAACGTGCAGTGCACATTCACTCAGTAGGAATTTTGAAGAGTATCAAAAATGATCTGACCGAACAAGGCTTTGCGTTATGATCGGTACAGGGGAGAGCAGCTAGCAGCACGGGAGCGCTCCGTTTCTCAGACTCCAAGGCACCCCATTTGCAAATCGTATGAGAGCCCGGATCCGGAGCTGAAGGAGCTGTATATCCTCACCGAATGCAGCGAGCTTCGAGCGGGTGGACTGCCGTTGCGAGTTTCGCCGTTGGGGAGGAGGGCGTGCCACGGGTTGAAGAGGACGGGTTGGAGAGGACGGTTGGAGAGGAGGTTGGAGAGGACAATTACCAAAAAAACAAGAATTGTTCAGGTGGTCCCCTGGTTCAACTGAAGCTATCCGCAGGCCGGGGCTTTGTGCGACAAACTCTCAAATGGGGACGTTCTCCACTGGAATTAACATTTCAGGAGGGTAGTGTAGGTGGTCAAATGTTCAATCAAGGGTAGAAGTAGGGCAAGGTCCTGGCCATTTGTCCCACGGCTTGGTGAAACTGATATACCATGCAACACCTGCAGCATGCAGGTGTAAAACAAGCAAATGACCTTGGAGACTACCTGGGATTATTGGATGCACACCACGAACAAATACGACTCTTGTGGGGCATCCTGACAATTAGACTATGACATGATGAACTACAGTAATATATGCATTACTAATGCTAATATTAGAAAAGAGATCCGATTACTATAAGTATGACTAATGATGACTAATGCTAGTATTTACATGCTATCATACTAGATAATATGATCTTGTCGCTTGTTTTTCACATTTGTTCCTGTTCATCAGCCATAACTATATACCATCACATCCAAGAGGTTTTTTGCAACAACAAAAACAACAGCATCAAACAAATTGCACCCGCCATGTCAAGGCTCAAATCAACGTGGTTTAAACAAACGGTGCGTGTTTTTTTCCGGAAAAAAACGGAGTAAACAGCGGTCTTTGAGATTTGAGTCAGGAGTTCTGAGGGGATGACTTCACTAGGCGGCTCCTCTTGCCGATTCACGTACCGGCTCCTCCTCCCCCCGTGGGGCTCGCAGGCGTGGCGGCCACTGTGAGATGCCTGATGTTTTGTCAGGTGATGACTGGTTGAGAATCAGCTACATCCGAAACTAGCTGAACAGTTTGTCACCAACTAAGAAGCGTGCCCAAACTATTCCAACAAAGGTTGAAGGACCCTATGGACTATCCCGTAGAGGTACCCCAGTAGGATCCTATAAGGTCACTTGACCTCTCTTGGTTCTACTGCACATCCACGGGTCAGGTTGGTGGCACAAAGTTCTAGTCTTTAGAAGTGCTGGAAATTGACCTTGTCCGTCGGGAAGCATCCTGCCCCGGAAGGCTGGAGAGGCATCCTATCTATCACTGGATGATCTTGATGACAATCATAATCGCATCACATATAATGCAGCTGATGCTGCGCCAAAAAAGAAAACACGGTCAAACCATTTCTCCAAGTCTTCTGGAGGTGGGAACCTGTGCCCGAACATGTTCGCACTACATTACCCAAAAGACTGCACCATCAAGTCAAGTATATACTTAGTTAGAAGCACGTCCAATCTCAAAGGGCTATCCTGAAAAATTGTTTCCACATGTGTCCACAATCCCTCATCCGTGCCTCGACATTGCTCCCAAGCCTTGGAAGCATACTAAACCAATCTAGACCAGGCACATCACCCTTCCCAGACTAGTTGGCTCAAGTGCTGCGGGATTGACACTTGCCTGGAGGGTTGGTGACTTCAATTTTGAAGTCACCCACAAACACTGCGTTCATTCATCCCAAGTAGTACACCGCCGCCCATCTTGAGATCCGTTGAGAACATCTGGAGACCCTTGACATCTGGAGACCCCGCACCTCACGCAGATCTCACAGAGGTGGTAGTTGCAGCTTTTGCAACTGTACCTGTCGCCAGCTTCACTTACGGAAGGTATGTGATGTGGCCAGCAAATGGGTCAAACATATGTGGCCAGGCATCCCCCATCTCATAGGCAATGACAAAAAAACACAGATGTTGATCGCCCCGTGTAAACAGTCTGACTGCAGCAAACACATGTACAACCCATATTGAATCTATGACTATGGCTATGCCAAATGGCTCAAGAGTGTGCCACGGCTTGAATGTATTCTATTCCTCTTGCACCAAAGGACGGCTACTCAGCCACATCCTTTAGAAGTGCTTCAGCAACAGCCATACTGATATCAAATCTTCCAAAAGGTGCCGTCCCTTCTGCCGAAGACGCCACTCCTTCAACAACACTTGAGAGATTGCAAGGAGCTCCCCGCGAAAGGCCCGACACAAACTCCTTATAGCCTTATAGGGAAGGATTCAAACAACATGTTTTGGTGAACAACGGCCTTTTGGGTCGGTCGGCTTCACATGGCCTGTTGTTCACCATGCTTCATTGCCATATCTTGAAGAGTTCGGAACCACGAACCAATGGCCTGTGAACAAAACATACAAACCCGTAAAGAACACAAACTGAGACATAGCCGGAGATTAAAGCGAAGGAAACAACATGAAACAACCAAGAGTTGAACATTCCGCTCAAAGCCACGAATGGTCAGAATATGTCAGAACTGACCTCTGTTTAAATGAAATCGACTCTAATGATATAAATTTCATCTTGTCCACGTGTCTTGATGCGCTGGGCGTTTCCAATGTGTTTTTTGAGTGCAAAGCTCTTGGACATCGGCGGTTCTTTCGTCAACTTTCCAGCACAAGAACTTGAGTCAACTGACAAACACCAGTTCATAAGCTCCCCAGAACCAGGCGGTTCATCGACCCGAGAACTGACTGGTGGTGTTTTCCTGAACCATGCAATCACCACCAATGTTCGGTGGCTGGTGCGCATGAACTGGCTCTGGAACCGTTTCCTGGGAAATTAAACACCAATTGTTTTCCACCTGCTGGATTGTAGTGAAAAATCAAGTCAAAAAGCAACAGCAATATATATATATATTATATATATATGTGATATACATATATAAATATATATACATAATATATATATATATAAGTTGAAGACTGGTTCAAGGGGTTTCCACGTTTTCCGGCAAAAACACTCCAAGAGATGGGGCGATCCGGAAAAAACACCGGCGGGCGGCCTCTTTGCGTGGGTGTGTAAACCTCGCCCGCACCTGGCGGTTTTCGGGGTGGTTTCCAGGTCTGTCTGTGGAGCCGCGGGAGGCCGTGGGTTGAGAGTGCTAGCACCAATTGCCCCAAGTTAGGTGGTTATGGACCCCCATCAGCCATCGAAAGGAGGGTTGTGCCATCTACATACTCCGACGCCATTGTAGCCCATGGTGCAATTGGTTCAACAAAGTTCGGACAAATTAGCGCAGACCATTCTAGGCGTCAAGTGATTCGATTGGCAATTGAAATGGAAATTGCCCAAAGTCTCAGTAACCTTGGACGAATTGAGAAGCAACACTCAGCAAGTTCCAGGTGGCTCGCACAGCTCAGTTCTCCACCAAGCTTGCTGAACTCCAAACCCGTACCTCCCATATATGTATTGCAACCCTCACATATCTTTGCTTCTCACTCAGTGGTCCCAACCTGGAGCCTGGCCCACTTGCAGGATCTTTCTCCCACCAAGCTTCCAGCTGGGGTGCGTCGTTTCGGGGGGGGTGCGGGATGCGAAGGGCGCCTGCGGCACTTCTTGTCCAGAAACTCGAACAAACTCCCAGAAACCTGGAGAAGAGAAGATCACAAGAGCCGAAACAAGCTGGCTTGACCAGCTGATGTGAACCAAGTGGCCAAAGGATGAGGATCCCCTAAGCCATATATATCTTCCGGAACGATGTGTGAACTTTGCTCTGAAGACCATCTGAACAGCCACTTGAAGCTTTAAACGTGTGGAACGTGCTCAGTTTACCTCAAATTGGCACCATGCTCACCGGGCTTATGCTGAGGGCGGTCTGTTGAGAGCTGAGGACAGAGTTTTGACGTCCACTACCCGACCAGCTGGTGTGACAGGGATCAACCGCTGGATTCCACGGGGTCGAAGTCCTGAGGTCTACAATCTTCCCCCACATAGGTGAGGGCAGCACAGGGAAGGGGCAGCGGAAGGGAGGCTGTTCTACCGCAGTGGATGTTTGCAGGAAGACGTGCTCCTCAGAGTTTGGTCCAATCGGATTCTCACACTGTCCAAGGAACAATCTTCTCCTCAAGGGGGTGGCCATTGTGACACCTCAGCGGCTCCAATCCCCAGTGGATCCAAATCAAGTCCCCCAAAACGCTGGGATCTTCCAACAAATCACACCGTTCGAAGGGCAAAAACGCCTCTGGAACGAACCGTTCGGTCGATACCCACCGTTCCTGTGCCATTCATGGTTCTGCCTTTGAGCTCGTTTGATGCGACAGAAAGGCTGAAAAAATCTTACACAGTTGGGAAAATCCAGGTATGAACCTGCCTGCCTTCGCCAATCGGCCGCCAAAGGGTCCCAGGGGGTCGGGTGTGGTCCACTGGTGAATGGCCGAAGTCCGGTGAAGTCACTGGCAAGTCCCTCCACAAGGGACCAAGCTGGCCTAATAGACTGCAATTAGTACGAGACTCGCAGGGAGCGAAGGAATGACCCCGAACAATAGATACCTTAGGATCCAGCCACCCCCATTCTCTACTAAGCACGGGTCAGATTAGGGAATTGGAGACATGCTTTCCTTGGAAAAACCTATCGGGTCTTAAGATCTATGTGCACTCAATGTACGCACGGGATTAGAGGGGTTGTGATTCTTCCTGGCTGGGTTGACTGGCCCTAGAAACCACACCTTCCAAGGGGGCGTTGCCAGTCTCCCTATTCGAATACAGACCCAGTTGATCATGGATCCGTGTCGAACGAAGGGCTCCGAACGACGCTCCGGTGACGAAGAAGGGCTTTCCACGTACGCCCGGCCACTAATGGCCATGGGTATCCCAGACACTCCATGTATGCCATACCTGGATCCTCCTTTGGGCTAAACATGCTGGACCTCAATCCGGCAAAATTTTCCGCTGGATTCCGAAAAAAAGGCCGAACCTGGAAAAACAACCGGATCCAGGATATTGAAAATAAACTGAGATGAGCGCCATGAGTAGTTTTTCTGGAACGCCTCATTCCACAACCCAATCACTGGAACCTTCCAGTTTCCATTTCCCTCGCCCATCTTCCGAAATGCCTAAGAGCAGAACCTTCACAAAATATAAGCAAACTTGTGCCCAAGCAAAGACGTCCAAAAACAAAACCAAGGAGTATGTGGCAAGGAACCCTTCTTTCTCTGCAACCGTGTCACTAAAGCTCTTTTACAAAGTGGGTTGCTCTCCAGGATGTTTTCTGTCTGGGCTTTGGCCCACTTGACTTTGCTCTCTGGCTCGCCCTGGGTTTGGAACAAGAAGGAGCAGGGAGGTATACATTGTACATGGAACAAATTTCTTGAACTGGAGAAGCCTTGTCTCGACCCCTGACCCCGGACAAGGGGCAGCCAACAACAGCCGGCCTCTTTTTCCCAAGATGGGTGGGCCAGCGGTGCATGCACGGTGTTTCTGCCACTGCCGCAGAGTTGGATAGGAAATTCACTTTGCTCCAATTTCTGCCAGGTGCATCTATAGCACCATGCTTGTGTGCGTGTGTGTGTGTGTGTGATGTGTGCGTGTGGGAAACCATAGAACTTGCTGACCCAACTACACAGCACAAGACTGGGGCAACCCAATTGCGATAAGGGTGATAACCCAAGCAGCATTGATGTTGGCATACGTTTGGTGACTGCTCAGTTGACAGGCTGCACAGGGTGAATTCTGAGACGGTTGCGTTGTGTTTTTGAGATTCAGTGTGACACATCGGCGCCACAGGTGTCTACACCCTCCCACAAACAACAAACCGTTGCTTCAATTAAGGGTAGACACGCGCACTCTTACAGCCCCCACACACAAGGGCCGAGATCCCTCACTCACTTGGCCAATCGCTGGCAGCACGGCCTGCGCACACAGGCCATGACTTCACTTCCCACCGACCATCCTGGGCACCGACCCTGCCAGAAGCAATTCTTTTTCTTCTATGCGTCCTCGTTCTTGCAAGCAATTTCTCGCAAGCACCGCTTGGCCGAAGCCCGCTTTGCCTGGGCATTGAAGCAAAAATTAAGCGTGAGCCTGCCGGCCACACTGTCTGGCCGAAAGCGTTTCCGCACTCTGCCTGCAATGTACACAAGAAGCGCCGCAAAGGACTGGCAATGAAATTTGGGGCTGCTGTCTTCACAGGTGCCCGGGCCGCGCCACAATGTCAAATACAATCACGCCATAGGACCAAATATCCGCTACGTCTGAAATATCGACCTCTGACACCCCCAAAATTAGTTCGAGCTATCCCCGCGCTAGTCCCCGCGCTGAGACATGGCTTGGAAAAAGAAAGGCGTACGTATAACACACCATTGTGGCCATACCCCGGCTTACTGCCTCACGAGTTCGCTCTGACATGTGTTCTGGCATCAAGTCCGCGATGTATTCTGACATGTGCGACGACATACAATTATATACATTCAGACGTGTGTTCTGGCATGTATTCTGACATGTGTTCTGGCATCTGTTTTGAAACACTTCTGACAAAATATGGGGCAAATGCCCTGACATTGTGTCTAGCACCCTATTTGGCAAATATTCCGACTCGCTTCCTCACATTCTATCTCTGGCGTATGTTGTTTTTGGCATTCTGTCTGGCATTGCTCTTGGCATTCCACCTGGCATACATTCTGACATTATTTCTTTAGCTTCTGACATTTTTTCATTCTTCTGGCATCGGTGGCAATGTATTGGCATTCAACCTAGCATTCTTAGGATAAAACTCTGACGTTCTGTCTGGTATGCATTCTCTGGCTAGCAGAAAACTAGCAACCCTCACCTTGGCAGGTGTGGAAAAACATGAGCAAGCTAGATCATGGACATGTGATGTTCCACTGCGCTCAAACCCTCTCGGAGCTTCACACCCCGTTGAAGGAAGATTTGTTTGAACCGCTGGGATTGAAGCTCATGGAAAACAACCTGAAACTTCAGAACTTGATTCAGAGGAAACACAACCTAAAACATCCTAAAACATCAAAAACAGGGTGAAGTGACGTGGGAAAAAAACTCGGGCAAGCAAATGCATCAGGTGTGACTCTGGACGTCTGGCCACTGCAGGTAACAAAGGGGTAAAACTGGTGAAAAAGGCTCGCGCTGGCAAATGGAGGAGGCCACCTGCTTCTGCGTTCGCCCGAACCCACATGAGGCCCCAGGAAGCGGCGAAGTCTCTTGGAAAAGAAAGGCACGAAGCTATATGCTCATTGCTTGATTTATTTTTGAGACCTATGCTATCCTCCTCATAATTTACGTGTGTTATAGCGTCATTGAATTTTTGTCATAAAAGTATATTTAAAAGGATCCGGAATCGAAAGGCAGCATCAGGAATCTTGTTGACTTTGGCGTATATATGTTTACATGTCTTTTTTGATGAAGGGTGAAAGCACCTGTAATCGCTCTAAAGATCCTACTTGCTCGTTTGCTTGTCCCTGAAGCCTGGCCAGTTTTTGTTTGCCTCAAGACCTCGACCCTGTAAAAAACATAGCAGAACTCATGGTTCCAGTCAAAACCTTCTCAAAACCTTCAAAAGACTGAGTGCAGAAAAGTAAGCCGGAGTTACGGGAAATTACGCCGGAGGTACGACGCGTTTTTTTTTGGGGCAAAACATTGTCGAGCAGGCTCTGTAAACCTGCGTAGCTAGAACATCTAGAACTATTTCCCAGCACCCCGACATCCTGAAGCAATGGGAAAACATTATCGATCATTATCGCCTATGTTCTTTCAGCTTGGGTACACCCACTTGTGTATCTCACATTTATAAACGGATCTGATTGAGCCAGTGTGAACCACTGCTAGAACCGGTAGAATGGGAAAACAGCGGAACAGGCAAACGACCTTTCAAGCAAAATTATTCGTCAGTAGTGGATTTACCTTCAAAGACATGCGGACCACAAAGAATGCAAAGCCTTGAGAATCCACATAAAGTGACTTGCAAAAACTGCCGGACCAAATCCAGAAAAACGCCGGAGTTGGAAGTCCGGCGCCGAACCCTGTAAAAGTGCCGGACTGAAGATCTAGGTATATGCCTACACTGACCCCTCAAACCACCCCAATGTAAGCATATATGGCAGTCCCATGGAGTGTCTGGGATAGGTATGGCATTCCGAAACCCGAACGGCCAGGCGCCAGAGTTGCCGACCAATCCCCTCACCCAGAGGCCACCGATTCTTGGAGTTTTTCAGAAAACCACCCGAGAAGGTGCGATTTGTGCCATGAGGCCTCAGTCAAACACAGCCTCATTCTATCGAAACACAGCCGAAAGTGCGAGGAAAGTGAGGAATGAGGCAAGTTTCACTGATTCACCTCCTCAGGATCTCTCGCCACCCTTCGGACCCTTCTTCGCACCAGTCCGTCTACATCCGTCTACTGTGGGTCCTTGATCTGAGCCTTCTTCCGCCCACGACTGTTCGACTCGTCGACTCGACTGTCTGACTCATCCGGGCTTCCCCGGCAATATCATGTGAGACAGAGAGGTTCAGTCCATCATGGAGCGAACGAACACCCAAAAGAGAAGGCGGAGAAGGCGGATCAGCTAGTGAGCTGAAAGTGAGATAGTGAAAGCTTGAAGGTGCTTAGAAGATTGGTGGGGTGAAGCTTCCAGCTTCACACCCCAGGTCGAAACAAACAAAGTACTTGTTTGCAGTAGATGTTCCTTCGAATGTGCCTCTCTCTCTCTCGCTGTTTTTCATCTGTTTACTCGTCTTTGGCTGGAGAACTCTGCACTCCCTGTCCACCACGGGGAGCCACAGTCCGTGTTCGGGGTTCCTTTCCGTTTCGTCCATGTTTCCGAACAAGTGTGGTTGACAAACACTCTGATCCAGGTCCAAGGCTATATGGACTTGGGGAACTTGGGGAACTTCATCTCCAACGTCGGTCTACGTCTTCGACCAAAACCGGTCTGAGCTTCAACGCTGCAGGTGGCTCGGTGTCTGAATGGTAGATGCACTATAACTATAATAAAACATATGTTGCAAGCCTCGCAGTTATTGCCTACAAAAACCCATATCAGTCATATGTATATGTGCATTCAATTGCATACCTATGCATACCTAGTCCATACCTATGCAACCCGTTTTGGACTGAGTGTATACATCTTGCGAGCATGTAGCACATCCAATTCATTTGAACATGAACAAGGAGCGTCACATGTACCAGTTTGAACTTCCAGAAAACCATGAGAAACCCATCTGCAATCCCTTCACTCAGATCAGGTTCTGCTCCCAATTTGCTTTGAGAGGCTGCCCGTGCTGCCAAATGAAGAGGCACAGTGCGTAAAACAACCCCCCCAACACATGGGCGTCACGGTGAGGACCTTCGCTTCCGAAGGTCCTCGGTCCTCACGCGGGGCCCATAGGATCGGCAGGGGTCCGCCCACGGGATCTGCAGGGATTGGAGGAAACAAATGGATTTACAGCTCTGAAGTTGAAGCCCCTGCGAAGTTGCTGTGACTTTCAAACAAAGCTCTGCGGATTGGTGTTTTCAATTCACGAACAAAATACGAGTTATATAGATGGAACAATCTTTCTAAGGGTTAGTTTACTATCTGAAACCACCACCCAGAACACGATTTTTAACATTCTGTGTGGCCTTAGATCATCAACCCAACTGGGAGCATAAGGAAGTCACCCTCCCCTGCCTCCTGGTATGACCTGCGTGCCATCTGCATGTTCTTCTTTGACCAGGTAGGTGGTTGCTGGAAAGCCCTGAAGGTGCTGGAGCGCTTTTTGCTCAGGTCAAAGAGGTCAATGCGAAGATGCCCAACTGCCAAGCAGCTTCCTGCGCCCGGGAACCCCGTCCAAGCAGCTTCGCCCCCGTCATAAGAAGTCCAGCAATCCCCAACACTGCCTGCACTGACCCCTGAAAAAAAACTCTAGTAAGTAAACATGCTGTATCCAAACAAACTCAAAGTAAGTAGGGATTCTAATCCCATGCATGGAGTACGCACAGGGAATTCGAGGTGTCAATGAAAACATCTCCAAGCGTGATGAGACTACATGGATTGTATGGATCTCCAAAGGGTTCATGATTTTTTGAGCACAACAATTGCCTTTTATATCCTTTTATCAATTCATCCAAAGCCCAACGAACATACCCATTCGAAAATGAAGTCATTTGTTAAACAAACACACACACACATACAGTGTTTCAAAGGTTCGATAGCACAAACCCCTACATTGGCCCTACATGTCTTTTGGATGGGGTCCATATAGACTGCCTTTGGGGGATAGTGCCGGTTATCTGCTCTGAAACCACTGCATTTGACGTGTCATTCACTTGGCTTGAGGTCTTGTCTGATACATTTGACACCCCCCACAGCGGCGTGAAGAAGTAGGCGACTTTCCACAGCCGTCAGGAACAAACAAGTGTAGCTGGAACCCCGAAGACGAACGTCCGTCCAAACCCAACGGTCAGAAACCGGATCTTCGCCCCCCACGCAGGTCTCAGGGGATCATTGGGATCATCGTCGACTCAAGGGTCTCCACATGAACCAAAGCAACAACAACAACAACAAAAGCACACGAAAGCACCTGCAGCAACTTCCAACACCCACCAAAAAAAAACGATAAATGATAAATATGTTGAATCAGTTCCAAACGACCTTCACCCACACAAACACGCACCATTCTGCACCTCCTCCTCGCCCCCCCCATCCTCCGCATCCTCCCCCAACACCGCAGCAAGTGGCTCGGCCTCTTCGGTGCAGCGTGGCGCGTCGGGGACCTCGACCTGACGGGATCCGCTCGGCGCTAGAGTCTCAGGTAACGACTGTCTCTCCGCTGATAGGAGGAGTCGGGACATGAACTATATGAAGGGGGGGGGGGGCGCTGGTGACGTCACAGAGGGCCAGAAGCGAAGCAACGTGGGGCAAGAACTGTTATCCGCAGGGATCCTAGGTTTGGAGGGTCCAGTCGTACCTTCTGAGAAGGTACGACTGGATCCCTAGGGACAGTTTCAAATCACTGATTCCCACATTGCACTTATTCCTAGCTCGCGGGAGCCGCTGCCCACTCGAGCTTTATCCACACGGGAGATCCCCCTGAAAATGCTTTATACATGTCCAGCATGTTGGAACTTCAAGCGTGGCTTGAAGCTGAAGTGGCTAGTCAGTGTTGCCCTCAGGCCTCTCCAGGGTGTCCAAATGAGTCCAACTCAGTCAGGATATCCACAATTCCCTTCGTTTTGCTGAGCTTTTTTGGTAGGCCAAGTACACTCTGACTCACTAACATGGAAGTGGATAGCATGGTCCCTTGGAAGACTACTTTCCTGTACCAACACTGGGGTGCCATCCACGAAACCATGTGATGTGCAGTGTCGGAGTGTAGTACATCTCATGAGCTCCATCGGGCCTTCACTGGCTTTCTGGATGAACATGGAACCAGGTGTACACGTGACGTGATTGCTAGCCAACCAGGCCGACCCAATGTCGACAGCTGCATGAATTCAGTCATCGAAAGGCACGAGTTCGCGGGTGAATTCAACCAGAAGGTTCAAGTACTTGGGCGTTGGATTCATGCGCAAGGGCAGCGCTACTAAAAAAAGCACACCCAAATGCACTACAGTATCCTCTTCTCGTTCTCATTTGTCCAGAGACCCAAGAATCCAACAGACTACCTGCTACGCGGCCGCTGTCAACTCGCACATCACCCTCTCTATGCTGAAGGTTTACTCCCCGCATCGCCAGTGTCTTGATTAATCTTCAATATATATATATATATACAATTGGCTTAAGGCAAACACCGGAGACCACAATGGCTATATATATATATATTATGCATACTGCATACACCTATGCATATTCAAAGCAACTCCCAAATACGATGGGCCCGATATCATCTGCTTCTATGAGCCAATGCTGGTCAACCGGTCAGCCATGCCCCCGTCCTCACGTCCGAACGATCGTCTCCGCCCGTCGTTCGCCTCTTGCCACCCAGAGACGTCCTGAGCTGATCAAAGAAACATACAACATACAAGAAAAGTCTATTTGGGGCTTGACATGGCTTGATGCACCCCCTCCACAACACCCACACACACAAACAAACGAATGTAGAACAAGTGTGGTTTTCACTCAGTGTTCACGGACCTTCGAGTATGGAAAGGGCCAGTCCAGGACGCTTGAGGCGCTCCAAAGGTACTACAATACAAAATGGATACAAAATGGCCTTCCGGAGCAACTCCCATGAATCAGTTGTTCTGTCACAGAATGGTCTCCCAATGTCTCCCGGAGTCGGAACTCTACATTCCTGCGCCGGAACTGCCACCGTGCCGCAGCTCTGGGCGATGGTGGCGGACAGGTAGTGCCCAAGCCATGCGCCTCGCAGGAAGCTCCTCCACCAGGCCTGGTGAAGACCCAGGCCCGGTTTGGTGTTGAAGACTCATGAGAACCCCCAAGACATGGAGAGTCTTATTCTCCATGAAGGCCCATACTTGGTAAAGACATAGGAAGAGTTGGAAGACCTCCACCTTTTACCTGGAGACCAATTCTTCTCTCGATGCCGGCTGAAGGACTCGATCCTGGAGTCGCCGAAAAGCCCCGCCCTCGGGCCAGCTCTGACGGACCCATCTCAGCTCAACATACCCTGAAATCGGAAGTGCCAAACCACCACCTCCGTGTCGACGGACAAATGGTCGAAATCGGTGCCATGCCACCCCCGCTGGCCCATGATTCTTGAAAAGGGAGTGCAAGCCAGGAGTTTTGTTGGACCGTCCAGTGACCTCCATCCTCCAGAAAATATTTAAAAAAAACAGTGAGACCTCTTGAGAAGTTTCAGGTTCATGTCTTGTTAGTAGTTTCGAAACAAAGAGCTGGAGATCTGACTGCCAACAGTTGTTCCCAGACTGGGCCGCTGCTGGGACCGCTACATCACCGGGACACTCCGACTCATAGAGCTTTCCTTCTAATGCCCAGAGAGGCCCCATCAGTGCTTACAAACCAGCCGAATGTGACAAGGTTTTGCCTGGGCGAACAAACCAGCTTGCACATGCAAATCATGGGAAGCCAGAGACCGCACGAATTGGTGGGAACAGCATTTGGGGCCGCTGACGACATCAAATGAAGTGGCTAAAACCTCCCACATCTGACCTATCAAATTGGCTGGCGAATTGAAAGCACGTCCACAAAGAAAACCAATGACCCATTTGGTTCCTTGATGTTACTTGTAAGTTGGCTTGGGCCCTGCCAGTCTGCCACCTGTCCCAAGAACCTGGTCGTGGTTGGGCCCCAAGTCTTGAAAGGAAGAATGCCAGTAAAACACAGGGTAACATGGAAAAACTAATCGGTCAAAAAAGAACAGTTTCAGTGTGAACAATGAAATGCATAAACAAACGCCTCACAAGGAAACACGTTGCTATCCCTGGATCAAATACAAATTAACGTGCATGACATGATGTGAACACAAACGAACAAATTATACATGTATGATTCTCTTCATGCAAAACGCTATATGCCCGACAAATATGCTACTTAAGGGGTTTAGGACAACGCAATATTTAGATGCAAATACCTAAACATTTGTTGTAAATGCAGCTACCATTAGAAAATACGTGTGGCATGGTGTGGCCTCTTTAGCCACAATGGCTCTAATCCTTGTTGCAAAACTGACAGCTACACTTGTAAGGGTTCACAGGCACCCGTAGGCTGAAACAGAATCACCAGAACTTCCCCTAACATATGAAGCAAAATATAGCACACGCAAACACCAACTGGGCGTTTTTTGATATGTTTTAATGAGACCCTCGTGAAAAAACATCTGCATATGTAGGAAAACGGTTGTGACATGTTTTGAATCAAAGAAGCGTCGATGCAAACAAATTGAAAACCCAAATCGTCCGTGACAACGGCTCCAGCTGGCTAAGGGCCCGTCTTCAGAGGCCCTCAGTAGCGAGTTGCAGGCTAACCAGGACCAACAAAAATGGAAAACATGTTCCAACCCCATGCAGCTACATGTGGTTTTTGAAGTTTACAGTTTGCTCTTGGACCACTGGCACCTATTCGAAGTCGAGCAGTGGAGTCGGCCCTGTAGCAGTCTGAGGTGAAACACATTTTGAGTGGACGTTCCTGCTGTTTCCTCTGCCCGGCTAAACAATAGTGAGCCGCAAACATTTTGTTACAGCGAGCGAACAAAACCTATAGAGGGCCCGAGGGTCACCATATTCAGTGCAGCTCAGCATGAGCAAGCCTTCCCCATACCTTTGGGAACCCACATGCCGCTTGACTTGAGGAGGTGTTTTGGATGAATAATGAATTTGGTGGGATCAATGAGAACTGCTGAGGGCGTTCTCGAAGTCCACACCTGTAAGCTGATCTCAGACTCAGGCCATGAGCACAATCGTGACTACCCTGACTGGTTGGGTAAGGGTGCCCTCCGCAGTTGGCATCTGCTTTGGTGACACGACGCCGCATGTCACAACCGGGTCATTCTACGTGCTTCAAAACACGCAGGAATACAAACAACGCTGTTCAAAAAAGAGTGGATCAGGTTACCGCGGCCGGGGGGCATCATGCCAGCAGTGCCCACGCTCTATCATCGCCGCAAAGCACTGCGCAGCAGTGCGTTGTTCCAGAAACTTTGAGGGCAACACGGGTGTTCTGGCGATTTTCTGAAACTTTCTCAAGTTAGCAGAAGGCCGCTGGCTTTGCCAAACTATGCCGAACTCATACCAGTGCCGTGTACGAACAGGCAGCAACAGGGCATATCACATGTCAGTTTTTGCGCTTCATATTGTTCATCGATTTTGGTGCCTCCAAGTGCTCGCTCAAGAACATGGGATGGAGTGTGGACCGAGTTTGGAATGGTAGGAGGTGACCGGTTTGCAGAGCCTGACAACAGCTCCGAGCCCCTTAGCAGCTTGCAGAGCTAACTGATCTATAAAAAGTCTGACAGCTCCCAGAGGTGTCTCCCTCACTGATCTGCAAATCGATTTTAAAGTCTGACAGCTCCCAGGGATGCAGATTTCATGACAGGCGCAATATTGTATTCCAGGCGACAAAAAACTCCTAACTCGGAAGTTTCCTATTTAATACATTGTGTGATTGGCGGGTTGGATGGCTCGGAAATTCGTTTTCTGTCTCCCTGATCTCAGCTTGCGCTGCCCGACCGCGATCATGTTCGATGCATGCTCAGAACGCGCCGGTATGGGGCGATGTATTCCTTTTTATATGGAAAATATTGCGCCAGTGTTTCTAGGACTTTGCAGTTCAGAACTCGTGTGTGGTGGTGGTGAACTGCGTCACTCGATTCGACCGCGTAACTCAAGCCCGGATTTGGTTTAAACGTGTTTGTCTGACCGAGACGAAGAAAACTCCCAGTTACAGACTGAAAATTCCTAGTTACAGGCTCAAGGCAGAAACTTCCGAGTTACAGTGCGTGTGACATTTTCCTCAAGTTGCAAAAGTTTTTGGGTTAATCATGTTGTGCGCTGATGCCTGCATGAAACTGGCTTCTGTAATGGCTGGTCTGGTTGATTCACTTTGAACCTTGCAGCAAGCAAAAATGATCTATACCGCCCCAGACATATGGATGATCTATATGGTCTCTCAACCTCTCTTGGCACTGTGTATGGGACTTTTTCGTGAAAATCCTAATCCAATCATACAAGCCGAATCTAGCCAGCTGCTCTTCGGTGGTGACATTCTCCAACAACTGAGAGGTGACATGTGCGCAAGGCAATCAGTTTCAGCCAACAAAATGTTGATCATGGCAAACACGGTTGCACCCCTCAGGGAGAGGAGGCGGTGAACGAACTTTACAGGCAAGATCAGGCCAGGCCCAGACGCACCCCCAAAAATCCCATGCTTCTGTGACCCGGTGCTCAGCATGATGCGGTGCACGCAGGGGATTCGATCCAGGGAGGTGGGCGCCCACGAAGGGGCCTGCTTATGATGAAGAATCCTGCCTTACATGACCAACTCTAGACAAATCACCAAGTTCTGTGAAATTACATATATATATATATATATAGACATATACCTCCCATCCCTCACCCGCATCCACTCTGATGGCATGCAGCTCACATGTTGGATGCAGTCTTGCACGGGCTGCCAAAAGCGGTACGGCCAGATTTCGCTTATGTAGAAATAATGTAGGTATAATATTACAATGTTTAAATGTATATATGTATACATATATATAGATATGTATAGATACATATGTTTCAAAATATAGGTAGTGAGTGTCTCGGCATCTGCTTATGATGCAACGAGTGATCGAACAATCCTTGTTTTTCTGAGGGCCGGTATATTCTACTGGCACCCCTGCAGCGAAGGGGATAAGCTAGGGTGCGGACCTTACGCACAACAATCCGTTTCTGATATATTTCAGAACTGCCTACTAGTACTACTATACTACTACCACGACGACTACTACTGCCACTACTACTCCTACTGCTGCTGCTACTGCTGCTACTGCTGCTGCTACTGCTACTGCTACTTGCACAGCTGTGTATGCTGACCACCTCCTTCAACCACACCAACAACTACTGTACTCCCACCGCTACTGCTGTCACGTTCTTTGTTCGTTCGGCAACTAAGTGTGAGGCAAGTTCTGACCTGACCTCGAACTCGAAAGACTTAGATTTAAACCGTCCTTCTTGTATCACCCCTTGCTTCAGAGTCTCTTGTATCAACACTCTCTTCCCACGCCAAGATCACATTGTACTTACAGGGCAATAGCAAGAAGGTTTTCATGGGTGTTCTCAGGCAATCATGTCAATGTCAATGAAACACCCGTGAAGTGCAGCGCCCGTGTCTAGTTCAACATGACCACTGACCCATCAAAAAAGAGGTCCGGCAACAGGAAACCTTAATCGTCTGAAGCAGCACTTTTCCATAGCAAGTTCCCCAAAGAACAAGCATAATCAATAGCGTTTTGAGTACTTGTAGAATCGTCCCGTAAACAATAACAATGACTCTCAACTATTCAACGAACAAACCAATGTGTTCAAAGCTGGTCCCAACATGCCTCGCATGAGCATCATGTTGGGTCTGGGATTCAAGACATGGTGTAAAAGAAACATGTTGTTCATTTTGTGACTTTCTTGGTTTCTTGGTCCTAGTGCTCGAGGGCACCGAAACAAAGTTCAGTGTGTTTGCTTGGGTTTGTTCTTGCCAAAGGTTCAATCGGTATATAGCTGTATACTAGGTTGAAATATATTGAAATGAAACATCATGCAACATTGACATGAGGATTGAATTGGATTCACCCATAATCCTCCAGGGCGCCAGCTACTCAACCAAAAACAACGTAGATATACATGTACCAGC